AAACCCCTTGCCTTTAAGACCCAAAATGAGACCATTTGGAGAGTTTACGGCCATACACTTTTTAGTGTGGCCATAAACACCTCCTTTAAGGTTAGTTTTTCTCATCCTCTTGTAGAGCAATAGTCCCACAAGTTTCCCTATCATTCAAACACCCTCTTATGCACATTTTACCATGAGTTTACGGCCGTAAACTCCATGGCCGTAAACACCATTTCTTGGCCTTAAACATCCCTTAGATGAATCACATGTGATTCCATCACTTATTCCAAGTCCTTAAGGGTATTGCCTTTCATATAATTGCTTATAAACACTATATTCATGCCAATACATGCCATATATGTCATTTAGGACTCGTTTGTGTCTCGGGACTTCATTCGTGGAACTTCTCATCCTTACGCACATATTCGTTTGAATCACCCACATAAGGTGAGTTCATACCCCTATAATGAATCTTTTAACTGTTTTAAATGCTTTTAAGGGGGGTGGGGGCATACAAGTAGAACACAATGATAATTGTGTAAATTTTTGTTATAAAAATCTTTCAAAATATTACTTATGTCTTTTATAAGTGATCAAAACATTTCAAAAACTCTTTTAAAGTTATGTTACTTTATAGTTTACCAAAACTCCGTTTTTAAAGTACAATCATAACTTAGCAGAAAAATAAGTCTTTTCAGTAACAGTTCAAGTAAAACACTAGTAAACTATGAGGGGTATAGTTTAGGGGTTCAGTTCATACTAGATGCTAGAACATACTATAATGAGAAACAGGGAGGAAGATACAATACATCATAGAGACATACTATATACTATATCAGAACGAACATACTAAATGCTATAGCAGGAGAACACTACAGGATCTAATTATACCAATGAATCACTAACTCATTGTTCTAAACAAAAGGTGATAGTAAAATTGGGTATACATGATCACATAACCTGAATGTGAATTTTACACGACCTAGCAATTTGTTTGCGGAAGTCGCGTTTGGTCCCCAGAATCTCTTGCAGGGAGAGCGTATAGTATGGGTACTATCCATCACATTATGACCTCAATAAAACAAACATGTTTTAAAGGTAATCAGTACTTCAGGATGTCAATTCAAAAGACAACTGTGTACTTACATTTTCCCATTACTTTCATTTTGTGACAGTTCCACTTGAAAGTTAATGCAAACTATTTTCGAGTCAAGATAGTTATAAAATAGGGAAAACTTACATTTTACAAACGACAAACAGATCAGTCGAGTCTAGTACATTCAGTAGAAAGGGACCTATAATGCTAACTTTATGATTCCTTAGTGTATGCATTCAGGGAAATATATTAATCGGATCCGACATGTAATCGGACCCAGCCCACTATCTATCCGATCTTATATATATATATATATATATATATATATATATATATATATATATATATATATATATATATATATATATATATATATATATATATATGTTCCGTATGCACCAAGTAATCATAAGGGGTACCATGTATGGGCCAGGTCATAGGACACTAATTCAATACACCGTTTTCTAGTACAAAACATACTTTTCAAATAGAACATTTTGGTATACAAAACTAGAAACTTACCAGTAAAGGGTTTAATCCATTTTATTAAACCAGAAAAACTTAGAGGACCTTAGGTGATTAATCCTATAATACCTTAGTTTATACATCAAGGTTATATATAGTTAATATCTGATAGGTAGTTGGATGTGTGCCTTTCGCTTCATTTCCTGTTCCTTGTTTGGTTGTGGGCTTAGGGCAGATTCACACAATTAACTATCTGTTCGATATTAGATTATATATAGCTAGTATAAACTAAGTGATTATAGAAGGAACCACTGTGGTTACCATTTTTATTATAAGAAATAAGGGTTTTCTTAAAGAATCTTTTCATCAAATATAAAGGAACTGTTACAGTTAACTCCGTGAGTACCAAGTGAATACGCCAGGGTTATATACAACGATGTCCTAACAAACAATGGGATGTGTGCCTTCCGCCTCATTTCCTGTTCCTTGTTTGGTTGTGGGCTTAGGGCAGATACACACACCCGATTGTTTGTTTACTCTGGGTTTTATATAACTTGTATCCATTTAGTACTCATAGAAAGGATTGTAGAGTCATTTTTACTTATCTTTCATCAAAGCAGGAAACATAGGATTTTCTAGAGGAACAGGCAAACTTTTCTAAACAGAACTTACGACAACTTACTACAAATTTCTTACTACTTACTTACATCACTAAAAACATATGAACTCACCAGCTTAAATGCTGATCTACGCTTTCAAAATAACTTGTATTCTTAGGAGACCAGTAGACAGGTACGCGCACTGGGATTCAGAAGACGGAGCGGTATAGCTTCATGTCTAGTTTTGTTATTTACTTTGTATTCTATGATATGTGAACACATACTTTTTAAACACTTTATTTCTTATGAAATGGTTGTTTATTACTTTGCTTACTATGATGCATGTCTGGTGATACTAAACATGACGTCCTCCGCTCCCGAACGTTTTCGCCGTTCCGGTTTTGGGGTGTGACAGTTGGGTTGGAGATTGGGCATCTATGATGAATCTGAAGTTATGACTGAAGCTTTCGGGTTGTTTTTGGAGAATTGTCACATAGATGTTCTGGAGGGAACAGTTGGTGCAAATTTGTGGAATACAATAGCAAATGGATTCTACATTCCTTCGGCTGCTCAAGAGGGGAGCATAAGATCCCCCATTCACTGTTTTATTCACCGCTTGATTGTTAGTACCATAAACATACGGAAGGATGACGACAAGGTCCCGACCTTTGACATCTTCTACTTGTGGAGCATTATTATGCCAAATACATTTTGCAATCTTCCTTATTGTTTGGCGAAGTATTTGGGAGAGGGAGCGGTGAAGAATCGGACTACTTCAAAGATAAATGGCGGAATGTTTGTGACCCGCTTGGCAAGGTCGCATGGTGTGTTAGAGAGAGGAGTCGGAAATATGTTGACTATGTTACCAACACCTTCATTTAGTGTCACTACAAGAAAAAGTTAAAATAACTACGGAAATTTGCTACGGTAGTACAATCTATAGTTATTTTGCTAGGGATTATGCTACAAAATGGCTTGTCGTAGCTATTTTACTATGGAATTTGCTATAGAATTGCATTTTGTAGCTAATATTTGAATAACTACAGCATTTTGCTACGGAATTAAAAATCGTAGGTATTCTACTATGGACTATGCTACAGAATAGTTAGACGTAGGTATATTTGCTACAGAATTAGCTACATAATTATGTTCTGTAGCTAATATTTGGATAACTACGGAATTTTGCTACGTAATTGGATTCCGTAGCTGGTGTGGTACAAAATTTGTTACGAAATTATAAGTCATAGGTATTTCGCTACAAAATTTACTATGGATCTAAGTTTATAGCTATTTTGCTACAGAAATTGTTACAGAATCAAAATATGTAGCTATTTTAATACAAAAACTGTTACAGAATCTAAGTCTGTAGCTAATTTGCTACGACATTTATTACGGAATCAGAATTCGTAACTATGCTACTACAAATTTTTCTATGGAATCAATGATCGTAGCTAAATGTTTAAAAATAAAAAATCATAAATATTATACAATGGAATTTTCCAATAAGCAATTTTAGGTGTCTAGAAGCTTCTCAAGTAAAGTTTAGACCCTTAAACGATCCCGAACGACCAATGAATAAGTCCCTAAGACTATATTCGATTTATTTTAATGTGTGGAACTTTAGAGACTGACCACTCTATTCAAGAACTGAAATTTTTTATATATCTACATATGACTAGGTGATGTAGAAGATTGAAGCCATTCTTGAATTGTGAGTCTATATTTTAGCAGCAACCACGTTGCATTTGAGGTCAACAAGAACCACCAAAACCTTATAAAAATAAGTTTTTGGTGGTGGTGGGGGGGGGGGTGTTCCATCTTGTTAGTTCGATTGTGGTCCTTCTCGATGTGTATTGGCCCCCGAATGAACCTCATAAGCCATACATCATTAACCTTAAGCCCTAAGCCCTAAACCATAAGTTAAGAGGCATAAGCCATAGGTCATAAGCCCTAATCCCTAAGCCTTATGTTCTAAGCCCTAAGACATGAGCCCTAATCCTTAACCCCAATCCATAAGCCTTAAGCACTACGGCATAAGCCATATGCCATAAGCCCTAAGCCTTAAGCCACAAGCCAACATTGTCGCTACCCCACTCCACACCCACTCACCCATCCAACCAACTCTACCCTGCACCCACACTCATCCCACCCACCTCAACATCCACATCCATACTCCCACTCTCACCCCATATACTTTGAGTTTATTCCAGTTATTGTTAAGGTTAAATGTGATAATTGTTTCAGATATATTTAAACTTTCACCACAAATTGATGTCATACACTTTTACAAGAAATATCATATTCATTTTTGTGATAATGATATTATTTGATATATAATTTTAAAACGGTTTTTTTATAAGTTATTTGATAAATATGATTAATATAAAATATAATATAATTTTTTTTAATATTTTTATATTATTTTAAATATAAATATAATTTAAAATATTTTAGAAAACAGACTTTTAATTACCGTCCTGGAAAAAGTTTCACAATCTCCCACGATAAAAAAAACAAAAAAAAACAAAAAAAAAACAAACAAACCTAATAACACCACTAAACCTAAAACGGCGGTCCCTCGCAATCAATCGATCGACTCTATTTACATTCTTTCTCCATCTCTCAATCGATCAATTTCTTCAACCATCAAGCCTCTCACTACAGCCAATCAATTCCTTCCGCCATCAAGCCTCTAATTACGACCGCTCACAACCAGCAACATCGTATACTTCTAGACCTCCGCCTCAAGTATCTTCTATCGACGTGCACACCTTCCGCTTCCTCCTGTCCAGTCACCGCCGCTGTCAGCCCTAATTTTGGAGATTCATGTGGCCGGACCGCCCTCCATTGGGCTTCACTTTATGGCAGGTTTTGATTTCCTAAGAATAGGTCGTGATCGTGTTGTCAAGATTCAGGTAAACTGGTGTTAGTTTTTTGATGTTGTTAATTTAAGTGGGAATCTATTTTATCTGATTTTTTAGGCACATTTTTGTGGGCATAAAGTTCAAAAGCATTATAGAAAAATGGTGTGGTTTGTTGGGATAGTGGAGAAAGCGATACTCAGATGGAGACGAAAGAGTCGTGGGTTGCGTGGATTCCGGCTGGAACTGAGAGCTCCGGAATCGGAATATGATTTCCTGAGAATAGGTCGGAAACAGAAATATGTTGGAGTGGAAAAGGCAATGACTAGGGTGCATTCCATGGCTCGGAATCCTAAAGGCCACGAACAGGACATGAGGCTCGTGGGGAAGTTTGAAAAGGTACTGTTAATGATACTCATACTCATATTGTGTTAATGTGGTGGTGATTATGATGTTTTTGTGATGATTGTGTTTGACAGATGAGCCATGAAGATAGCAGCAACAAATGACATTGAATTGAGAGTTTTTGAGGCTGTGCTACTGTCACAACTAGCATTTTAGCTAGGAAATTCTATTCCTATGTAACCGTTCATCTACTGTAAAACATACACTCTAAGTAAATCTCACTCGATCCTCATTTAGATTCATCAATTATGTTCAACAAAGAATCTAAAAACCCTAAGAATCCCGGTTTGAGTCCATATTGGACTAGAAATTTCTTATTGGGCCTAATGGACCAATAAGCACCCAATTCAACTTTATTGGACTTAGAAGCCCTAATTGGATCCTAATTGGACCCAATTCATAAATCTAAAACATTTTGGACCATTTGGGTCTATAATGATTCATTCTAACCCTAATGGGCCTTATTGGGCCATAACTAATCCAATTAACCTTAGTGAGCCATAAGCCCATTCTTTTACTCTATTTGGGCCGTGAATGCTTCCAAGGGCCCAATGGGCCGAAAATTTTTATGTTTAGGATCCAAAGATCCTAACTAAAGTTAATGGGCCCAAACTACTCCACCCTTTCTTCTTGGCCCAAAATCTCGGCCCATGTATAAAACAAAAAAAAGAGAAGTGAAATGGGGGGGGGGTTGACTTTGGAGGTGTCACCTCCATTTTATTCATCATGTATCCATGCAAGGACCACCATACATCCATGCTAGTCACCTCACCACTCTCTCTCCCCTCTCTTCTTCTACTCTCGGCCGAGATCCACAACACACACACACTACATCAAATTCTCTCTATTACTCCTAAGAATCATTCACCTTCTTCCTCCAAAATCTCAAAATTTTGCTAGGATTCTAAGGATATTCATCAAGTCATTCAAATATTTGGTAAGTTATTGTCAAACACAAGTATCTTCTTTCATCTTAATATGAAAAACTCCTTCTTACATGGTTTTTATTCCATGATCACACCTTTGAAGCTTCATAAACTCGAGATCCTTAACAAAGGTGTGCTAAGACCAAAAATCCTTCCCACTTCTTCTTCAAAAACCGAAACATCAAGCAAAGGTGAGTTCATACCCCCTTGTTTTTGGTTTTCATATGATTTTGGGGGAGAATGCAAGTAAAATGTGTAGATCTATGTGTTATATGCATGTTTTGTGTTTATTCTTAGTTTATTTGGTAATAAGGTGTTAGATCTTAGCAAATCTCGAAATTTTAAGTATTAGTTAGCAAAGATCTATGAACTATGACATTATATACATCACATTATCAAGCCAAAAGTGATTACATGTTTAAGATACAAAAGATTTCAACAAAAACCTTGTTAGGGGTCAAAATTATCAAGAAAACAAAAGATAAGGGCAAAAAGTGACATTTATGTTTTTATAAGGGCCAAACAGATACTACATGTATAAAAATGTGTTTTCATGTTAAACATACTTTAAAAAGGGCCAAAAATGCAAATTCAAGCTTAATGGGCAAAAACTTTTGGGCCTCACGGTTTTGGGCCCAATTTGCGAAAAAAATGAAGTTTTGGGGTTAAAAGTTGTTATTTGGCCAAAGTTTGAGTCATAAATGTAAATAAACCAAATTTAGGGGTGAAAATAACATTTATTTTCAAATTGGACAAAAAATGTAAGATTTTCCAACATTGGGCCGAAAGTGTAAATTTTTACAAACAAGGGGCTGAAAATGCACTTTTCTGCAAAACAGGGTTCTACGTGTGAAAATATAACTTTTTGAGCTAAAACCGTAAATTTTTAAACATTTGGGACAAAATTGCAAATTTTTATAAATTATGGACTAAAGTGTCATTTTTACAAAACTTTGGGCCTTCATTAAAAATTGGAGGATTATTGGCCAAAAACGTCGTTTTTACGAAAAGAGGATTTTTATCATCAATATATTAAACCCCGAGCTAAAACAAACAACAGAATTAATACAAACGAACGGAATACGTCGATAACTATTTATTGGGCCTAATATACATGTTACTTGGTCATTGGACCCTAAGGGCCCAATTAAGTGTATATTGAGCCCAATGTTTTCCATGATGTGTTTATTGGGTCTTGCGACCCACTTACATGTTAATTTGGGCCTAAGTATGGATTACATGTTATTGGGCTTTTGTGGCCCATTTACATGCCTATTGGGCCTAAATTACCCTTTTACATGTTATTGGGCATTTGTGGTCTAATTACATGCTAATAGGGCTTGGAATGGAAATTTCACATGTTAGTAGGCCGTAACTATACCTTTGCGTAATCATTAAACTTCGTATACTTTTATATGTACCTTTTGAATACAAAAACATACCACATATACGTAAACATTAAACATAGAACAAAAAGGGGTTGAGAATCTAGTGAGACATGTCGGTTGGCACCCTTCGAGTGTACAATCATAGTCTGTAGTTATAATCAGAGTTTCCTGGTAGGAAAGCAGGAGTTTGTGTATAGATCTATATGGGGTGACCCCCTACGCCTTAGCTGTTCGCTACAGCTAGTCTAGGCCAGTCTAGGGCGACAAAATCCTTAGCAAGACCGGCATTTGGAAAAATACCAAGACGGGCGACATAGTCACTATCATGCACGCTTATAACAGCTCATATAGGGATTCAATACCAAAAGTTTAACATTTCGAAGATAAACTCTTCGATTGTGTCAATGGAAAACGACTTATTTAACGACACAAGAATCTAGACGATGTTATAAAACAGAAAATATCGGATTTTCTGGGGAAATTATTCATATACATTTATCATTTATTCACAATACAATGAATCTAAACTACACTCATATAAGTTATAACTATGAAATTCACACATGCATTTATACTTGATTTTCACATCATTTTCTGACATTTTACAAAAAATATCAGATTTTCTGGGTTTTTATGAAAGATTCAAAGACTTTTATTCAAACATACTTATGAACTCACCAACATTATATATGTTGACCGTTTTCAAAATAACTTGTATTCTCAGGTAATCGTTAAGCTGGAAGATTTGCAAATGTATGGTTTTGTTTTTATGTAACAGCACTTATCGTACTTATAACAATTTGAACTTATGTATTTTAACAATGTACTTGATGTGAACAATGACAGTTGTATTATGTAATGTTGGTGATGACTGTGCTATGATTAATGTATATTCATTGTGATGATTATTCAATTGTTAGTCACACGAGCCCCCGGACGTTTCCGCCGTCTGGTTCGGGGGTGTGACAGCTACCCAATGGAACAACCAAAGCCTATTTTGCTTGTGGGGAGGTAATTTATATTGATATGTCTTTTTTTCTGTCATATATATACCGCTTCTTGCTTTATGTTGTTTATTATATCAATGTTTTGATAATCCAATCTTTTTAGTGGTTGTCAGTGCTACTCTTAAGTCTTACCTCCAACAACAACCCCTTTTTCAGTTTGGTATTTCATGTTGAATGTAATATCTGTGAATTTAATTTCGGTTAGAATTGTTTTTTACTGATTAGTTTTTTTTGTGAAATGGGCATTTGTCCATTTTTTTAATCTGATGTCAACACTTCTTATTAATTGCTTCAATCCATTAAAAGTATGTCGACTGCAATAGGTGGCTAGGTGATTTCATATTATCTAAGGTAAATGTACACCTCATGCATAGTTATTGTTGCTATAACCTTATAGTATCTTTATTTGACGTTTTTTATTTTGGGTATTATATATATAAACTCAATTTTCATTTTTTTAAGGAATGGAATCCACCACAGATAAGTTGAAATCTCTTGTTAGGAAATGGGATTTTTTTATTGACGCTCATGTTTATGTGAAGACTACTGAAAGCTATGCACAATCAAGCCAAATTAGTCAGGTATTAATTTGTAAAGGATAATGCTATAATAGAATACAAATTAAAAGGACAATGTAATAGATAACGAATTAAAAAGGACCAATTTATGTTTAGTTTTCAAATTGATGGGTAATATATGATGTCAAATTGCTTACATTTTTTTTCTATATATCCCATGATTTTGCATACTCTTCCCTCTTTATAGTGCAGTACATTTTTTTCTCAGGTTGCTGGTGGCTAAGATGGATACACAGATGCTGATATTGATGAAATTCGTAAAGAATGGTTTTCTTTTGTGGCAACCTTTATTTTTCGGTGATATTTTGTACCGGAAAACAATATTTTCGGTAACTTAGAAATGTTTGTTAGTATTTGACATAGGATTTTACAATATTTTTAATAAATTGTTATTTCATTTACATAATTTTGATTTTGTTATAAATTTTCTTTGGAAATAAAATTAAGTCATTTTTCTATGTATTTGAACTAATCATGTCACCATTTTTGGCTATTGATATTTTTATGAGTTACTACAGATATGTTTATGTAGTATTATGTAGCTGAATTTCTATGGAATCTATTATGTCACATTTTTTCCACAACGGAAGTAGGTCGTGATAAATTTACTATGAAATATTTGCTACAGAAATAAACCGTAGTAAATTTACTACGAATTATTTGATGCGGAATTATGTCGTCGTAAATTCACTACGGAATATTTGCTACGCTATTATCGGTAGTGGATTTTCTATGGAAATCAGCTACGGGGTTAGTTTGTAGTTAACTTGCAACGGATTAACAACGGATCGGTCGTAGTTAATTTGCTACAGACTTGTTATGAAAAAAATTGTAGTTAATTTGCTACGACATTGCTACAGGTATAGTTCATAGCTATTTTGCTACGGAATAAGTTTGTTGCAAATTCCGTTGTGAAGGTCCTACGGAATCCGTAACAAACCTTTACTAACGAAGAATTTTGCTATAGAATGGTTATGTAGCAAATTTCGTCTCTAATCGAGTTTAACTACGAAATATCATGTTTTAACTACGGAATTTTTCCGTAGTTATTTCGGTTTTTTCTTGTAGTGTGTTATGCTTTATAGGAGGGCAAGAGTTGTGGAACATTATGGCGGTGGTCATTTTACAATCCCGGATGATGATAATGTGATATCTCCTTAGGAACCGGGTAGGCGGGTTAGGCCAAGACAAGAACGTGCACATGA